CTGGGGGATTCTGGGAGTTGGAGTCCATCCTTCTTAAATCATGCTGGCTGGGGGATTCTGGGAGTTGGAGTCCACCCCTCTTAAAACATCCTGGCTGGGGGATTCTGGGAGTTGGAGTCCATCCTTCTTAAATCATGCTGGCTGGGGGATTCTGGGAGTTGGAGTCCATCCTTCTTAAATCATGCTGGCTGGGGGATTCTGGGAGTTGGAGTCCACCCCTCTTAAAACATCCTGGCTGGGGGATTCTGGGAGTTGGAGTCCATCCCTCTTAAAACATCCTGGCTGGGGGATTCTGGGGATTGGAGTCTGTTAAGTTCAGGGCAAAGAATGGAGGTGAGGCCAGAGTGATTCCTAACAGCTCTTTATTCAACATACTGCCTGTAAGGCAACTAAACTCCCCGGCTGACACCGCTCCTTTTATAGGAAACTGATCAGCCCAGCAACCAATCAGGACAGAGTATTTTCCTGCTCCAACAGGGGACCAGAATGAGGACTTTAGCTGGAAACTATACACTATATACAATACATAACACTCCTCCCTACCAAGAAGGAGCATTATGGTGATCAAAATAGCAATTTAACCGATGGAGTCTTTTGGGTAGGCAGAGCAGCAATGTGTTGGTCCCAACCTACCAGGTGCCGTCTCAAGACCAGTAGACCAGGAGCCTTGACTAGGCAGAGTGGCTGATGCTCCTTTTGAGGTGAGCTTGCGGCAGTAGGAAGGGCTCGGTCACTGGTGCTTCTAACACAAGAGGAACCAAGTCACCAGGCATCTGTGACTCACCAACATCCTTTGTAGGTACTGTTGTTTGTGGTGACGCTGAGCTGCGTGTCCTTAGCCGGGGTTGTCTCTGGCAGAGTCCATTCTGGCTGGCGGCAGGTGGAGGTTCCAAGGTGGCGATGCAATTGGTCGATTGTGGTGGCATCACAACCTGCCATCTTCTAGCACCACCCTGGAGGAATGTGGCCCAGTAACATCCACTACCCAGGCAGGAATCCAGGAAGGGCCCCCAGCGTACTTGTGGGCGTAGACACGGTTGCCCGGTGAGAATGACCAGAGATGACTGATCGAGTCTGTAGGGACCCCAAGGAGTAGTCTGGGTGCAGCCGGTTCAAGTTGGTCCGCAGGCAGTGACCTATTAAGAGTTCAGCCGGACTTAGTTTAGTTTAGTTTAGTTTATTTGTCTTGTATGCCGCCCACTCCTGAAGGACTCCAGGCGGCTCACAATAGACAAGGGAAGGGGGATAAATA